TTCCATAGCTTTCAATTTCTTTTCGCTCTTTTTTGTTGCTTCCCGTATCTCAGAAGGCCAATATTCTCAACTAGTCTCATTCATCTTTTTTTGATATACTATTACACGGCAGCACTACACCGCTCAACAAAACAACTATGTATACCGTTTTCACTTCACCGAGCTGCACGGCCTTTTAAGAAGCCTACGTTTTAACGTTCTATGAGAAATATTATATAGCTTACTTTATTAAGAGTAAACGAAATGAAATATATTTTTAAGACCGAGAAATTAGTGAGAAATAGTTTGAAAAATAGTTGCCGGCTAACTGTTCCAATCTCTTACAGTTCAATTGGCGAAAGGAAATGTCCTTACATCTCTCCTCCACTTTGTTAAAATTTTTGAATTTGGCTCCTTCTACAGAAAGATATTAGTTTCTCAAGTCTGTTCTGAGACTTCTTGCCAATCTCGTTAGTCTACGTGCGATATTAACGAATTCTTTATTTAAAAGCTTCGAATCAAGCCCAAAGCTTTGCTTTCGTTCGTATTTCGAGAGGTTTCAATGTTTGTTTTAATGCGTTTTTCGTGCATAAACTTGAAAGTTTTCTTTTGAATTATTTCTATATTTGAGTTGTGAGCAAAATTGTGTATAGTATGGATCCCAGCAAGTTGTTCCAAATTCTATAATAGACCGTCAAAAAATTTACATGCCAATTCTTTTGCGTTTACAGTCTTTTTCTTCAATATTCGCATTAAAAAATGCAATGACTTTCACATGTTTGTAATTTATGTATTTGATTCTCCCATCATAACATACTAATTAAAACGCGCCAAGCATAGTTACGACCCCGGAAAAATTAATTATTTTACTTTTTGTCAGTTTATTTCCATATCATTTTTAATTTCCATACCACTTCTTAGAAGAAATAAAATATTTTGGTGAAATCACGAAGTATTGACCTCATTCATAATAAAATAAAAATGCATGGCCGTGTTTAATTTTAGATTGTAACGTGTCTCATTAAAACAAAAAAATTGTACGCTCTTACCACATACCAACTGCAGTATATTGAAGATCTAATTATTGTTGTAAAAAGTGTAATCGAGCTCTTGTTCGATTAGAAGTCGAATCATGCTTACTCCTCACAACTGTATGAAGGCGTTCATTTTGTAGTTTCTGTGCTTTGGTGGGCGAGAGTTCTATGATTGTCTGGCAATTTACGTTGTACTAATGTCATTTTAATCCAAAGATATCAATTGATATATTACTATTCATAAAGAAGTGGTCGGTTTTGAAGGTTTCTACGCACAGTAAATTTGTAACTTAAGCAGTGTTGCGCACATTATCTTGATATTAATTAAACATCTTACTGATGCCGTGGAGATGCTAGGTGTATTTTCCTATAATATTGCAAAAGAAACTAAATTAATGTATTTAGACTTCCCAATTACCCTAAATAATATACGTAACAATAATCTTAGTGTTCGTAGAGAGTGAGAGCAAAATACAAGTATCAAATCGCTTAGCAAAAACACTTAGATCAGTTTCAAATCGGCCAATACAGTGACACAAAAGGAAATGTGTTTATTAAATTCAACAAAAATCAACGCTTACCTCATGATTCTTAAGTGCTTTCTTTAAGTACTTGCATTATTACGAAAGAAACCTGTCACCAAAATTTCAACTCTTTAAAAGAAAACTTTCTAATATTTTTTTAACAGCACAAGGTTATACTTGTGGAAAAATTATGTTTCTAAATATCAATTATTTTAAGGCTAATAAATTATATAGTGCGTCACCCAGTCAATTCCTTTGGAATAATCAATACATATCAACATTTTGTAAATATTGAAACCATCATCAGTAGTTTGTGCACACGTGTTAAAGCAATTTATCAGTTGTAACGTTGACTGCTTGCAGTTTTTATTTCAGGTTTATAATAGGTTACAAAAGTAGTGTCTAGTCATTGATAAAAAAGTTCGTTAAAAGTCATAAGTTGTTTCACTTTACGTTTGTAAGCCACAAGTATTCTCACAAATTTATTCTATACTTAAAACTGCTTTTCTCTGAAAATTGTACATAGGAATTTTGTAAGTTCACTGTTCTAAGTTCATGTCGCATCGTTCACACCAACTGGAGACTGATTGGCGTGAACCAACAGTTTAAGAACAAATCAGTTAAATAGCAAATGTATTTGTAATAGTTTTTGCCAATTTATATGCCAAAAAATTGTTAAGACCTCTTTCTCATCGTTAAATTTTTAATGGGATCCCAGTTTTGCGGGAGACCATGGTGTCAGGTGAAGGCCCTAATCAAAGAAAGTGCCACAAAAGGTATTGACATTTTTCATATTACACCAACAGTTAACATTCGATGCTACAGGCCACTTGTGCATACAAAATTAGTGTGTGCACTACCCAGTTACACTTTATGACCTTTGACATTATAGGAGATGCCACACGGTGAGAGATGCCTTGTAGAGCGCGCCTTCATACATGGATCACAGCGGGACTGTTTCCTTTTGAGATGAATGAAAAGGCAATATTCGTTTACAAATAAATTAAAGTTTAATTTTAATGTATATAATAGAAGCACATGAGTTAACAGTAATCCGGAGGACCAACGAAAGTTTACACGGTTTGTTTGTTTTCCTTCCTTGAGGTGCAAATTCACTCAGTTTGTTGCGCTGCCACCAACCCGAATCAGACGTCTGAGTGTGTGTTGGCGCCGTCGGAGCTGAAGTTGGCTCCAGATGATTCGACTAGCGGCCTTGATGCATCAAACTGACACGGAGTGGCAGGGACTCAGAGACAGGGTAGCAATCGCAAGATACAATCTATATTTCTTTTTGAATACATTGTCATCCCGTATGGCATGAATATCCGACAATTTTGATGTAAGACAGGCGCTTTGAAGTACAGAAATTCATAGAAACATGCGAGTTTCCTTGTTTAGGAGTTATTTTCTTAAACCACAAGAGATGCATTAGGTACGTTAACATTATGCCATTTTTAGAATATTTAGTCCAAAATCAGTTAAAAATACAAGTGAATAGGAAGTACAACGGTATAATTTTAGAGACCTTTATCGAAACTGTACCTGGGTAATTAACAAATCTGCTTCATTTATCAAATTGACAAGCTTAATCATCTAAAACCTAGTTAACCTAATATCAGTGCACAATCAAATACTAGAAACAATGTCTGAATACTGTTCTGAAAATTTCAAGTGAAATTCCAATTAAGATTCCCCAAAATGCTGAAAATATCCATTTAAAAAATATAGGCCAAGAGTACGTTGTAAGGTCTTATAAACGGTTCTTGAAACCCTAAGTAAAATTACAAACTTTATATTAGAAAACTGTTTAAATTTCTCAAAAGCGGGTCTCTATTAAGAAATTCAGAAGTACAGTTAATTCAGAGAAATTTAAATACAATACATAAAATATTTGATTTACAATTTACAGAATTTTACAATTACCAGTATATTTCATTTTGATAATCATTATAATTCAAGTAATTTTACCATTCAACCTTCGCTATTGATAGCTCTGGGTAGTGAGTTGAAGTATTATTTCACGATTTTGCAATAGCATGGTTACACTTCTCCATGGAATTCAGAATCCCCATCAAAGGCCAATATTTTACACTAAGTATACTTCATATTGATTTCTAGGGTTGATCAACCTTGTGTACATTACTATTTCATGTATTTGAGTTAGAAATGAAATTTTCTTCACAAAATTTGTATTAACAAATAAACCAGTTAGATTATCTCCTAAAGATCTATACATGTACTATAAATATTTACTTGAGAGCTGTTAGGCTTCTTCTAGGCATCTTCTAAAGATTTGAATTTTGTAACTTTCTCGAGAAGTTCTTCTCAACCTTAAACAAAATAAATATCGGCACATTAGCAATTGCAAGATGAACACTGAAATGTCCAAAAATAGTACTTTTCTAAAGCGTTTCTACTGTTAATGAAAACAGATGTTAATGAAAAAATTTGTAGTAAACAAATTAACATATTCAATTTTATTTGTGGGTGAATGGACAATGTTAGCACAACCCAGAAAAAAATAAGTAAAAAGCGCAACCCCATTTTTAGCATCGCATAATCAATTATGAAATTAAAGAGTTAACTATCATTTTTACTACTTTTTAGCAAAATAAATTCTAATATTTAGAAACATTTTGTCGTAATTTCTGTTTTGAATCCTTGAATGAAAGTCTAGGATCCTTTTTGGCAATTTAAAACCTTTATGATTTTTTTTATTCTTAACATTTCCGTTGTTGAGTTGTGCCGATATATTTCCTCCCAATGAGAATGTTTGTTGGAAATGACCAAAGAATTTAGGAATAGGATAATGTAATACATAAAATCATTCAGACTAACCTTCATTTCCGTGATATTTTTGAGTTCATCTAGTGCCAGGCACAAACGACTTCTCATAGACCTTGTTCTCAGGAACAGATCTTGCTATTAGTATGGGGTCCATGAACGCGCTGGTAATTTATCGACCGTAGCAAGGTCATAGCGGCACCCTATGACAATCGACGCCATCCTAGTTTCCTAGTAGTTTTTTATGTGGTCGCCGTCGACATATTTGTTGACACTGTATATGTAGTCAATCGGGCATCCTTCGATGTGTAGTAGCCACTAGCTGCTGCTGTTGCCGTTACTACAGCTGTTATTACTACTTGCAACTGCTGGTCGAATACCTGCAACAAGTGGATTATGAACATTATTATGCGTTTACGGTACTACATCACATTCTAATAATTTGAGTAACTTCCGAAAGATAAAAATAATTTATTTCTAACAAGCCTGGCATCATAAAATTAAGTTGTCCAATTGAATTATATTATTCTCTAACATCAGCATGCCATGCTATTTTGTTAAATTTTCGAAACAAGTTAAAATAGCTTTAATACGGCTTATTCCATGATAAAAACAGATCTTACATTCAGCCACACCATTAAAATTCGTTGCCACTGTGTTTAAATCTTAAAATTTAATTCTAGTTTTAGAAGAAAATTCCCAACTAAGATGTTCTGACATGTTTCACTTTCGAACTCAAAAATATTTACAACAACTTTTAACATCAGAATTGGGAAAAGGTCTCAAAAGACTGAGGAGAAGGAGTTCTGTGGCCTTCGCAACATTCATTTGGAAATTTATCGTGTCATTTGTTGAATTTGTTGTTTTGATGTGAATATGGAAGAATATATATTAAAGCAAATAAAAATTATCAATTTAATAAAACAAAATTTTGAACGAACTGAGTGCAGTAATCCACAAATTAGTTTTAGACGGCCAAACGTTTCGGACACTACTTCGTGGTAGCGAGGTCTACAGGACGATGTTTGAACCAAAACCTGGTTATGCAACATCCGTGCCTGAGAGTAAGTGTACCTTGTGCAACTTTGACTCATTAAAATAAGTTGGTGCATTATTAAAATGATCTTAAAATCTATTTCACAGTTTAAAATTTAGAGAGAAACCTAATTTTGTTTTATTGTTCCATTTCCACGCTTAACACTATCCAAAATATCCATCCTATTCTTCGAAATGACACTTAAATAAAGGAAATCGATAAGTATTCAAAGAGTTCTAATACGGCATTTAACAAAATGTGAACGAAATTCAAGAAACTAAGTGAGCATTTTAAGTATTTATAACGGAAATCGGTAAGGAATACATTCGCGAAAGAGGGAAATGGAAAGTTCCGGAATAGTACTTATGAAGAGTCAAAATTCAATAAAAAAAGATTCCACCGAAATGAATATATTTGACGATTGAACCGACTTTAAAATTAAGTTCCCGAGCAAGGTTTTAAGAGAAAAATAGAAGGTTATTACCAGGTATGTTTCTCAGCTACCAACTTGCTCGGCAACTTCATCGAGTGTTCTGGAAAGGACGAGAAAACCAAAAAGAACAAAACTTTAGACCTTTCGAAAAAAGTTTCAGAGAAGTCGCTCTGATGTCATTCAGGCAAGATTCAACCTTTGTAGTAATAGGAACACCAGAAAAAACAAAACTGGTTATTATATTCAAAATCGCTTACAAGGAACTATTTGACCCTTGCGCTTCCAAGTTCATCGACTCAAACATTAGCACTACTTCAATTATGTTTTCTCACTCAAACGGTTTTATTTTTTAAGAATCACACCCCCGCATTTAGGTTATTAAAGATGATGGTTGTGAATACGCTGAGGTTAAGACTCAAGTACTTTCCAATATCTAATATAAAATGAGCTTCAGAAATTTAGAAAATCAGCATTTCAGATTTGTTAACACCACTTTCGAAAGAAAAGCAAGAATTACTTCTTTCTGGGAGTTTACCCTTCCATTTGAGACTGTCTCAACATTCCCCAAATACACAACTATCTAGCAAGATTTTCCTTTCGTTGGTTCCTGGTTTTATGCATTAAAGATTAGATTCTTGTATTTATGTTCTTTCTGAAAGACTGTTCAAAGAAATCAGGAAAATCATTTATGCGATCCACTCTTTAAAATAAGTTTCTTAATACGCCCGTTTGAAAATCTCGCAAAACTTAGCTGCTTGCACTGATTTAAATGATTAATATTTTCTTCACACAAATCTCTTAATGACCATAAAACTCACCTACGGTGTGTTAGGATAACGCATGAAGAACCTCTCCTGAATCCTGCGTGGAAAACACTCCTTGAACACCACACTCCTTTACACCATAAGCTCCGAACTTTGAAAGACCTAAAAAAATTCACGAAAAATACGTTGATTTGAAAGTTTTATAACTCGCTTATTAGGAATCGCAGCACACAATTGCAATAAACACTTACGTATTTGACTTCAAATCTAAATATAATGACATCACTCTGAACGGTTACACGCAATCACTTAACACGAGTCACAAAATGGAGAGCAGTACGGACGACAGAGCGACGAAACGAGGGAGCTCCTTCTTGTGTAGTGACGCCTTTGTAGGGAAAAGGAAGTTACGTCATTGGTCACTATCGATATTAATGAACTATCGACTTCAGTGGATATACATTGCACGGTTAACACTTATAATGCACATGCAAGCCAAAGATATCTTATTTAAAGAAAAAAAATCTCCAAAATATAATAATTTTATATACTCATTCACACAACTTTATAGCAAAATGAAAAAAAACCGTGGATTTCGTACTCGTGTGTATGTTTAAAGTATCGAAAATTAAGGTTATATTGGACAGCGTTTTAGTGATATCGCATCTCATTATATCGTATTAAACAATTGCTATGCCGAAGTAGACGGGGAATAAGATAACAATAAAATAAACAAACCTCGACATGAGGAAGCAATTTTAAGTAAAATTTAATTTCAAAAAAGTATTTATTTTAATCAATAACTTATAAGTAGTAAAGTGGCCAGTCAAAAGACAAAATGTATGTTCGCAATTATTTTTACTTTCGAGTCTATTTTTTTACTTAGAAGTCGGTTTTAGAATTTAAATATTGTATTTTATTGTAATTTTCTAGTGACATTTATTAAAAAGTATTAAATATTTATTTTATTTTAATTTTCCAGTGATATTTAGGAAAAAGTATTAAAATGCATTGCTCTCTCCTTACAACACCCCTATTAACCCTCGACAAGGACGATCTTCTATATTCTTGTGAAAATTTTGAAAATTCATTCCATACATGTGTTATACGATTCAGAACTATATTTTCACACCGTACAAAAGGGCCAAAAAGAAATGTGGGGGTTTTCTTATTTCAGAAGAAGCTGTTACACAATTTTCCGAAAACTTTGTACTTAACTATTTCTTTCAATTTGTATTGCACCATTTCATTCAAAATCACACAAAAATTATTTTTGTTTAAAAAAAACTACTACATCTTAATGCTGGAAAATACTTTGCATTAAGAAAAAAATATATGTTTTTAGTGTTAATAGAAAAGATATTCTAAAATAGTCTGAACTTTTAGAAATTTTAAAAGTAAAGTGTTTTAAAAGAACGAACATTTATCATATTTATAAACCCATTGTCAAGTACTAGAGAAAGAAATAAAAGAAAAATTTGTACCTACATTTCGGTATATTTGAAAAAGGTCCCAGCTTCTCTAATATAGTAGTCCTAAATATTTTAAGGTATGTTCTCAGTTTGCAGTTTGCAGTTTTGATGGTATTGTTTTTGACACAGGTACCTACTAGCTCTAATTTATTATTTATTGTCTCTTTTCCCACAGTATCAGAATATTTTTAAGAAAATCAGATAGTATATTGGAGACAAAAGCTAGTTAAAATGAGTTGGTAGTTTCATTTTTTAATGCAACTGTAATATTATTTTTGTGTGTAAATATATATTAGGTTACGGTATCAGTAGTTTTTTAATGTGAATGTTTATTTGTCGAACTATTGTGACTATTAAAAACATCTTGTTAATATATGCCTCCCTCCCGCTTGTGGAATTGATTGTCACAGGCCTTGGGGTTGGTTGGCATTTATACATGGTAGATTTACATGCTACTCCTTAGAGTGAGAGCAAGGAATAATACATCAATGTCAAAACGAATAATTTTTCAATGTTTGTTTAACAAACAAGTGAAAATTAGCTTGTCTTTATGTCTTTCAGAACAACCTTATGTTAGCCATTATGGCAGTCTTAGTAGTTTCAAGTGTACAAAAATAGTATTTTTGTATAAATTTGGGTTCTTGTCTTTAACCGCATTTCATTGTATACACTTTCACTCGTTCACGTCGTCAAAAAACCGTTTGAAAAATAAATTAATAATATCTCATAACACTAAGCATAATCGCTTGATAACAAAAATAACCATTTCATGTCGATTAACTTGTGAGGGCAATTCATCGTTATCATAAGTGGAACGACAGGAAAGGAAATTTTCTCGCTGTGAGAGCTTCCACTTGGTTTCTTCTTGCTTGATTTGTAAGTGTACCCAGGCGCGTTAATTGCTAGCGTCATTGGTCCCATAAGTATACCACATATTTTACCACAGGGAATGGCTATTATCTTACCCTACTGAACTGCGAGACCGGCTTCGACGCCAGCTTGCAGGGAGTTCTCCTACCAGTGAAGCACCTCCCCAGCCTGTGCAACTTCGGAACATCCGACATGTGTGGTAGGTAGAATAGTGCATGTAAGTGAAAAAGTAAGTAAGCGTGAGGCAAGGCAAGGAAGGACAAGGAAGAGGAAAGAAAGATCGTTCTCGGTCCCTGTCTCGTTTGTGAGGATACTGATGTGGCATTCGCCTGGTGTTGACAGGAAAAAACAAGTAAAACTACTGATCAGATCAGTTGGCTGCTAGAATTCTCCTCCAGATAGCAGCTGAATCAGACTTAACTATTTATCGAAAATCGTTGAGAGTCAAACCCTAGGTCCTTCCGGTCAGAGGCCCTGCGCGCCTCCGCCTCGACAGACCACTGGCTATTGCAGTCCCTGACGAAACGTGTAGTCTGACTCACATGTGTCATCTCACGAGCAGTAGAAGGTGCAACCACATTGAAGCGCAGTGGCCCAGAATACGGCCCATTGTACACCACCTAGCTTTAAAAAAAAATTAAGAAAACACTTCGAATTTTTGAACAGACTTGTTTCTGTATTCGAATTTAATTGGTTAATGATTGTAGGTGCGTCATCGGCTAAGATCGTTAGTCCCGTAAGAATAGTGCGTGTTTTCCGCGGAAAGTGGCCGGTGATATCCGTCCGCTGGATGGTGAGATCTGACACCGACTTACCGTCAACTAGCGGGGTTTTCCCAACCAGGTATCTCCCACCAGCGTGGCACCGCCCCAGCCAGGACAAGCTCTAAGAGCTCTCGACTAGTCTCCCGGCATGTGTGGTAGTGCAGTGCATGTTAGTGTAAGTGCGTAAGTAAGGGGTGAAGATAGGGAAGGAAGAGGAAGGGAAGATTGCGCGTGGTCCGTGGCCCGTTTGTTAGGGTACTACTCCAGCATTCGCCTGGTGTTGATGGGAGAAACCACGGAAAACTACCGGTCAGAGCAGCCGGCCGCTAGAGTTCTTCTACAGACCGCAAGCATAGGGAAGAATCGTAGATGTTTCTTGCATTCAACAATTCTTGTTGAAAATCAGGTAGGCGCGAATAGTCATGGTATAATATAGAGAGATTTATCAATATATATTACACACGATCGATAAATAAATGTTGCAAATTTTCCGTCTCCGGGTAAAAGGTTCCCGTGTCCGGGTTCCTATTACCACAAGTAAGTCTATAAGCACTGTGATATTATAATTAGAGACTAGCATGATATTTAAACTAGTAATTAAAGATGTTAATTTTTTAAACCCGATAATTTAGTTTTATTTTTTATAGAGCTGAAGTTATTTTTGTTCTCTAAGGCTTTAAAACATCCTTCAAACTTTTTTAGCGTCAATAAACATTGTAGTAAACTCTATGAAAAACAAAAAATATCTACAGAGGGACGTCCCTTGATATGATCCAACACGGTTGAGGGGACACGTATTTTTTTCAAAAACATCGTAAATAAATATTTCAACTGGAAAGAGTAAATACGTAAGAAACTGTGCAATCAGTGAAAACATTTTGAGTAAAAATACAGTTTGTTGAATTTTAAAAGTGAAAACTGGGCCTCGTGACTCAGGTGCAACCCACACATCTCAGTACCCCAATAAATGATTTAATCGTTATTTCAACTTCAAACCTTTTTCAGTTTTTTTCTAATATCAATTTCGTGTACTGCGAATTTTATAAATCGTCATAAGACGTAAATGTCTAAAACACAATACGTAAGCAAGATATGAAATTCCTGAAATAAAGATGTCGGTATCGCTTAAGTATTGTAAGTGTCGATTTGAATCTTCTTCTAAAATGGTGATAGTTGCAGCGTGGCTGTCATTATGTCGGAGGGAGAGATCAAAACAGTGAAACAGGGTTTGTTCGCCATTGACGATGACGGGGCACATGCGGGTAAGGTCGACAGTTTTTGCTTCCTCTCATAGAAACACATTGCTCGTATAACTATCGATTGGTGCTTTGGAACTCTCGGGTAGTATAATTTAGCTACATAATAATGATATTGCAATAAAAATTACAAATACATCCTATCATAGAGCTCCAACAATGGTTTTGTGTGAACGTGTGAGACGACAGTTACAGCGCGCAACGTGCGGCGAATATATAGGTTAGGCGGTGTGTTTGTTCACTTATTCGAAGGTTGCGGGATCGAGCTCTGCAAAAATCATGAGTATTTTGAGGGATTCACAACAAATATGGTGCAACAGGAGGATGGCATCGGGGCTTGCAAGGCAGGTGTTCCAAAAAAACCATCACTGATCTCCAATTAAGATGGGGTTTCTGTTCAAAAATATTGTTAAATGTAACACGAATAATAGCTGTATTCAAATACACGTCGTATGAATATTTAATTAATGAACTTCCTAATTATTGTTGCCATCATTATTGATATTACTTTCTGGGCTGGACGGCCATGGTGTAGGAAATTCTGTTCCCAGACGTTTCGACTGTTTCTGCAGCAGACACCCTCAGTGGCGAATAGGTATTACACCAAGTGTCCTTCGGGACAGCTCACTGGTTGCTAATAAACATTTATGTCAAACATTTGTGTTTGGTGCTGTCAGTAATTAGCAGTCTGTCTGGAAGTACACTTCGTGTATGAACTACTCGCCACTGAGGATGTCTGCGGCGGAAGCAGACAAAACTTCTGGGAATAGAATTTCCTATACGCTAGGGCTGTCCAGCCC